GTTTTTTTTTTCATCTAGACTCAGACTCTTGGTGGTTAATCCAGTCGAGATCATTAGTGTGAAAATTGCGAATTCTGGGTCACAATCTTTTACACAGTCCTCCCCCTTTTAGAAATATTGTCAGAAACCCTAATGAGGGCAGACGTTGGAATGTGGTGTTTATTTTATCGCTATTAAGTATTATTTTTGTGTTTATTTTGACATATCTGATAGAGCGGAGCATTTGTTTGCTGTGTGGTATTATGCCAGTACTCACAAGTATTTTTTCTCTGTTTTTAATAGGTTTACACTGCCAAGCTTTCCAGTTGGCATTTTATTCAAGATTACCAAAATGTTTTCTACAAAGCATGAAAGTTTTCTACTTTTATGTGAACTCATTTGATCTTTTAAGTGAATTGTGTGAAATACAAAATACAATCTTGCAAGTCGCAAAAATTAATAAATCCTTCAGTTGTTACAGTTGAATCATTCATTTAGCATGTCAGAAATAAAATATAACTGATGAACAAATTGTAGCAGTAAATAGCAGTTATTATTTAATTGCTGTTTTCTTGTTTAACAAGCATCTCCAGGGTTGTAAGATTAGACCACAGAGAGCAAGAGATGTCCCAGTTTTCTCCACTGATAAACCCCTCAATCTTCACAATGATGTAGTCAAATAGGCAGTATTTACCTTATAGCTAATGTAGCATTAGATTAAAGGCAGAAGCTGACATTACCCAGGTACTGATATCACAGTCTCCACGTACCCCCCCCCCCCCTCCGTAGATCTCTCTCTAACCCCTCCTCTCTCTCTCTCTCTTCTCTCTCTCTCTCTTGCGCTTCCCTCTCTCTCTCTCTCTCTCTCTCTCTCTCTCTCTCTCTCTCTCTCTCTCCCTCCCTCTCTCATTCTCTCTCTCTCTCTCTCTCACACACACACACACACACACACACACACACAGTTGTCANCCCTCTCTCTCTCTCTTTCTCTCTCTCTCTTTCTTCACCCCCTCCCCTTCCCTCCCCTCCTCCTCTCATTCTCTCTCTCTCTCTCTCTCTCACACACACACACACACACACACACACACACACACACACACACACACACACCTACAAATTCGATCTTACTATATATCTTTCTGCTAATCCAATGTTTACTGGATGTATTATGTCATGCATATCTTCACAGTTGTTTAAATGATAACAATAAGTAACGTAATCAAGTACTCACATTTCTGTAGAAATATTGACTTTTGTCGGTGGAGTGAACACAACATTACTAACTTGATTATTTTAATGAATAATTGATTATTGCTTTTTATTCGTAGTAAGGTGTGGGTTTCAGCATCCTCAAAATGTTTGATGTTTTGATCAATGTATTGGGAAATTGTAGCTACCTGAATAAGAGTAAACTTTTCACAAGGACAATCTATACTGTATTATGATGTAGCAGTGTGTATGCTCTTTAAATTATTTGGCAGTGGTATTGTCTGTATTGCAGTTGAGTCAAATTCTGTTAAATATGTTATGGTAAAGTCAGTAATTTTTGATGTGATCAAAACTGGAAACAAGTAAAATTGCATTGAATGATGAATTGAATCACATATAAACAAGTGTGCATAGTTGGGATAATTTCCACCCATTTCAACTTGTACCATATCAGAGTGTTTTTCTTCATTAATACATTAAACATTGAAGCATATAAGTGTTTTCTGTACTTATATAGCTAGTAAAACATGAGTGGTTTCTTCGCTCTAAACTGTGCAGCCTATCTCACAAAATCTCACTTTTCCAAAACTGCTTACAATTTAAAGATTGATCATAGCAAAGAATGCTTAGAATTTGAGCTAGCTGTGTTAACGTTGTGTATCTCATAAAAAGTGACATGTGCAGCTTACCTAGTTTTTACAGTCTTTTGTCTTAGCCCTGAGTCCTTTATTTGGTCCAATATGGGGTCTATAGGTCTGTGGTCTTGCCCTGGTGTTAGGTTTGGTACTAGATCAGATCTTAACTGGAGTCTAGGTCTGGTATTAGCTCCAATCTTTGCCCAATCTAGATATATCCTTTGCTGTGGTTCTAGCTCTCGTTCTAGTTCTAGTTCTATCTCTAGTCTTGCTCTGATCCTAGATTTAGACACTAGATGATCTGGTTCTAGCTGCAGGATAGCTGCTTATCGTCTCACCACTTGTCTTGGTACTACAGTATGCTTGTTGTGAAGTGACTTGTTGTATGTCACAGTTGCCGCGTGTTTACATGTGCACTCATGAGTATTGGCTTTTCTACTTATGGACCTGAAAATGTTTGGGGAGAGGAGGAGGAGAGGATAAATATATTTGAAATCTACAAACTGTATCCGGATATTTCTTTAAGCTGGGGGTATTGAATCTTGATCTGACTTTTGGCCTTTTTGATAAGTAACACAAACTTTGTAGTCTGCAAGAATGGAAAAAAAAAGAAAGGAAAAAGTTCTCTGCGCTCTCCCTGGAAATTAAGACCACTGTTATGTCACCAGAGTACAAGAGCCTTCTACAAAATCAACAGGATTTTTTTCCTTTTGAAACTATTTAATGCATGTATAAATTGGGCTTATGTTGTGTTTGAATATATAACATAACTAAATATATCAAAACTGATCTGTTTTTAACTTTTCCTGGACTTTCACAGGTTTTGAAATAATAATTATACATTTGACATAAGTTAGCACTTACATTTTCTTTTTATCTACAAATTAGACAACATCAGTTCATGTGAAGTTATACACGGCCTCCCCCCTCTCACTGCAGTGTTGACATAATTTGTCACAAATTTGGACAAGAAATAAAACCCTCTCTGTTTGTTGTTTATATATAAGCTGTGGAAATGAACACAACAATAAATGTCCCGCGTCATATTATTTACATGGTTTTGTGGCAGATTTAGGGGTGATAATGGCACACACCTGTCTAATGTTTGCCTGATTACCTCTTGTGCCTTTTTGCTGTGTTATGTCTGCAGTAGCTTTTGTTTGTGGTGTGGGTCTAAAAGGAAGGTACATGTAACTCTCTCTTTTTCTCACTCTATCTTCATTATTGGTGCTTACTAGGGGGAATACTGCATATATGTGAAGCATTTATTGGTTGGCTTCAATTCAGCTTGGTTTTGATCAGTTCTGCTCTAGAACCAAATGATGATGATGATAATGGTGACAATAATAATAATAATAATAATAATAATAATAATAATAGTGAAAGCTACTCCTTGTAAAAAAAGCAGGATACTTGTCCAGCTTTATTGCATTCTTGAAAATTGAATTCCTTGTCCAACTCATTGATTTAAAATTATTTTTCCTCTGCATGTTTTCTTTTATTTTCTTCCTCTCTCTCTGTCTCTCTCTCTCTCTCTCTCTCTCTCTCTCTCTTTTGTTGTGTTATCTTTTCACAGTTTAATTCATCTTTCATTACTTCCAGATCATGCAGGGGCGTAAGAATGGGCTGTGGAACACGCGTCTCCCCATAGAGTATAAACAGCAGTTCAATGAGGCTCCTCCCCCAGACCTGATGGACAGAGTCCAGAGCTGGACAGATTGTGTCAAAGTGGAGAGGTCAGTATGCATGTGTGTGTGTGTGTGTGTATGTGTGCACGTATGTGTGTGTGTGCGTGTGTGTGTGTGTGTGTGTGTGTGTGCACACGTTTGTGAATGTCTGTGTTTGTGTGGCTGTGTGTTTGTATGCATGCATCATTATGTGCATAGATGCATGATGTTTTTGGTATGTACATACATGCACGTGTATGCATGCATGTGTGTGTGTTTGTTTCTATTTATTTTAATATAATACTTTGATTTCTTATAGAGTGGTAAGTAGATGTAATAAGAACACATTTCATAAACAAAGATAATTCATAAACATTCCAGTCAACACAAACTGCAGTAAGCAGCTCTAAACCTCAGTGTGATGTGAAAAGATTGAAAGATGAAAACTCACTATAAACATTCCTGGTGGTACAATTTAGGAGGTGGCTCACACCTCTCTAAACTGACAACTTTTACTGTACTTTCAGTGTGGTAGGAACAGATAGGAAAATACTGTACCCAGAGATGAGGAGACTTTATGCTGTGTCGCCAACCCCTGAATCAAGTGCCAAAGATTCTGAAAAGGTAGAAATAGTCAACCAGTAGAACATGGAGCATGTCTAGTTAACCTTGATGAATCCTGGTTGTGTTCTAAAGATATAATGTTAAGGTAGAAAGAGATGAATTTAGATTTGAAGCTATTTATTTCTAGAACACCTGTTTTTATTTTAAAAAATATTATTGAACAAGGTATAGATATTGGAGATATACTTTTGATAGCTTTATCTGGTAAATTGTGTGCTCTGATTCCTTTCATTTATGACTTGCGAAAAAATGTTCGCAAGTCACCTGTTAGCAATAAAACCTGTATAAAACTGACCAGTAGATTCCCTGAAGGACTGCCTGTTGAAAAAGAAATGTTCAGCCTCAATGAAAATATTTGAGAATTTTTTTACAGATTTTTTTGGTTTTTCTTGTAACAGTTGCTATTTTTTTTTTCCTCTTTGCAGTTACAATTTGTAGGTCCACTTTGTATGTAGAAAAGAAAGATCCATAAAAAGTGATATTTATGAAATACAAGCTGAAATCTGCAAAATAATATATACATTGTAGCTCCTTGCATATTTCAGAAAGAAAAATTGAGAATATTGCCGCCAGTCCTTCCAGCACTTGGGTAGGTCTAAAAATCTGAGTAAATATGTTTAAATTTCTTTTTTTTTTAAGTCAAAATTAATAGTCTTCTTCATAAAGTTGACGTAATGAATGTTAAAAGGAGCCATTTAAACATTGTTTATGGTGTTCATTGAATATTAACTTGATAAGTTAGAAAGCAACATTAAATCTATGTTTTAATTTTGTAGGGGAAAAATCATAAAATCAATAATGACTTTCATCCACTTGAGGTGGCTGTTCAGTTAAATATTTTTTAAGTTTATAATTAAACAATTAGATTTTTACAAATATTTTTAAATAACTTTTATTTCATTTTTTTGGATGTTTATTTATTCATTTAATTTATTTAATCTTTCAGGACAGACATCTGTGTCTGTGTAACCCATGTCAAGTCCTGCCAACAGTTTTTTGTCACCAGAACTGGGCCTCAAGTTGCTGCCGTGCATGCTAAAGTCCAGGAAGTTTGTAAGGTAAAACTGATTAAACATCGTGNCAGTATGCATGTGTGTGTGTGTGTGTGTATGTGTGCACGTATGTGTGTGTGTGCGTGTGTGTGTGTGTGTGTGTGTGTGTGCACACGTTTGTGAATGTCTGTGTTTGTGTGGCTGTGTGTTTGTATGCATGCATCATTATGTGCATAGATGCATGATGTTTTTGGTATGTACATACATGCACGTGTATGCATGCATGTGTGTGTGTTTGTTTCTATTTATTTTAATATAATACTTTGATTTCTTATAGAGTGGTAAGTAGATGTAATAAGAACACATTTCATAAACAAAGATAATTCATAAACATTCCAGTCAACACAAACTGCAGTAAGCAGCTCTAAACCTCAGTGTGATGTGAAAAGATTGAAAGATGAAAACTCACTATAAACATTCCTGGTGGTACAATTTAGGAGGTGGCTCACACCTCTCTAAACTGACAACTTTTACTGTACTTTCAGTGTGGTAGGAACAGATAGGAAAATACTGTACCCAGAGATGAGGAGACTTTATGCTGTGTCGCCAACCCCTGAATCAAGTGCCAAAGATTCTGAAAAGGTAGAAATAGTCAACCAGTAGAACATGGAGCATGTCTAGTTAACCTTGATGAATCCTGGTTGTGTTCTAAAGATATAATGTTAAGGTAGAAAGAGATGAATTTAGATTTGAAGCTATTTATTTCTAGAACACCTGTTTTTATTTTAAAAAATATTATTGAACAAGGTATAGATATTGGAGATATACTTTTGATAGCTTTATCTGGTAAATTGTGTGCTCTGATTCCTTTCATTTATGACTTGCGAAAAAATGTTCGCAAGTCACCTGTTAGCAATAAAACCTGTATAAAACTGACCAGTAGATTCCCTGAAGGACTGCCTGTTGAAAAAGAAATGTTCAGCCTCAATGAAAATATTTGAGAATTTTTTTACAGATTTTTTTGGTTTTTCTTGTAACAGTTGCTATTTTTTTTTTCCTCTTTGCAGTTACAATTTGTAGGTCCACTTTGTATGTAGAAAAGAAAGATCCATAAAAAGTGATATTTATGAAATACAAGCTGAAATCTGCAAAATAATATATACATTGTAGCTCCTTGCATATTTCAGAAAGAAAAATTGAGAATATTGCCGCCAGTCCTTCCAGCACTTGGGTAGGTCTAAAAATCTGAGTAAATATGTTTAAATTTCTTTTTTTTTTAAGTCAAAATTAATAGTCTTCTTCATAAAGTTGACGTAATGAATGTTAAAAGGAGCCATTTAAACATTGTTTATGGTGTTCATTGAATATTAACTTGATAAGTTAGAAAGCAACATTAAATCTATGTTTTAATTTTGTAGGGGAAAAATCATAAAATCAATAATGACTTTCATCCACTTGAGGTGGCTGTTCAGTTAAATATTTTTTAAGTTTATAATTAAACAATTAGATTTTTACAAATATTTTTAAATAACTTTTATTTCATTTTTTTGGATGTTTATTTATTCATTTAATTTATTTAATCTTTCAGGACAGACATCTGTGTCTGTGTAACCCATGTCAAGTCCTGCCAACAGTTTTTTGTCACCAGAACTGGGCCTCAAGTTGCTGCCGTGCATGCTAAAGTCCAGGAAGTTTGTAAGGTAAAACTGATTAAACATCGTGTGAAGATAACGTAAATTTTGTACAAATTTTTTTCAATTGCATCACATATGAACATTTTCTCCTTGAGGCAAGTTCCAAGAGTAAACTTTCACAGAAGGAGAAATCAAGCTGCCTTATTTATCAGGCAAAGATAAATGAAACATTTCAGTTTGAAAAAAATAAAATCTTTTATACTAGCCTTACATGAACAGAAAAAAATGTTTTAATTTGAAACAATTACAATTATACCATACTTATATATTCATATTTATATATTATATATTATATTTGTATATATTAGTACTGTCATGGAAATAAATCTATTTAACTATTTTTATGCAAACATTTTGATTTGGTTAAAAAAAATTACATGATATAATTTCAGGCCAGGGAGAAAGGTAAAATAGACAATTTAACACTTGGTGCCCACTGTTTGTGCAAATACCAAGATGGCAACTGGTACAGAGCTCAAGTGGCCAAGATAGAAGAGGAAGGGGTACGTAAAGCAGCTTTTTAGAAATTGAAGGTTGGTTTTGACTTTGGGCGTCTTCACAGTGAAACTGTCGTACTATCAAGTTCTACTTTCCCTGAGTGCTCTCAGATAACAGATTAACACGCTTCCTCCTGGAATTGAGTAGAATAAAGAAAAGCTGGTGATTACAGGGGCGGATTGAGACCATTTTCTGGGTCTTCTGGAAGAAGGTCAGATTTTTTAAGTTTACTTTGACGGGTATCCAATTTTCTCTGTCAGAAGACAGTCAAAAATGGAGGATGGAGCAACAAAGATAATTTGGAAGACTTTCAGAAAATATCTCTGGATCCACCCCTGAATTATATGAGTGCCTTGGAAGCAAGAAGAGGCATGTTGATCTGTTGATTTGAATGCATTCAGAGAAAGTCACCCGCAGATTTATTTCAAACATTCACGTAGGTAGTTTCATTGTGAACACACCCTTAGAGATGGACAGTTTTGTCCATTTTGACCAATGTTCATAGTAACGAAATATAGTGTCTGTGACCAAAAAAACAAAAATAAATAAAAAAGGGAGATGGCAGTTGTCATAGGAAGCAGGTAGTGGTAATCTTCATATATTTAGCACCAAATAGTCTAAGAAACTGATGTTTTAAATTGCAGTTATTTATTTTTATTAGCTGTGGTTACTGGCTAGCACTATATCTAGTTAGAGTTTGTCTCTTTATTTTCATTTAATATTGAAACTTTTATTGGTGATATTTATCTATTTATTTTTCAATCTATTTTATTTATTTATTTATTTATTTATGTTTATTTTTATTTTTTATTTATTATTATATCCATTAACAAGTGCTATTATTATCCATATTGCTATTTTCCTATACCCCCTATTATATCATTGAAGGTGACAGTATACTATGTAGACTTTGGCAACATGGACACCGTCCCCCTTGAAGATCTCCGGTCACTGACCCCAGAACTGACCAGTGAGCCAGCCCAGGCTATCAGGTGCCGTATTAGTGGACTTGAGCCACTCAAGGTAAGTCTAAGTGGACATGTCACTGACCAGTGAGCCAGCCCAGGCTATCAGGTGCTGTATTAGTGGACTTGAGCCACTCAAGATAAGTCTAAGTGGACATATCACTGACCAGTGAGCCAGCCCAGGCTATCAGGCCCCCGTTTCACAAAAAAACTTAAGTCGGTTTCCCTGACTTAGGGCTTGGTTACCAACGTAATTAAGTCGTTACGTCACTAAGTCCCGTTTCACAAAGAATCTAAAAGGTCGCTTACATCGTTTTTTTCTTAGCTGTAAGTCGACGATGTCAAGCCTCCTCGGGAGGAGACTTAAGTCGGCAAGCTCAACTAAAACTCAGTAAATGAGAGCATAAACAACAAAAATTTGGAAAGGACATACCTCCTTCAAGATATTGTGTTATAATATCCTTGAATAGCACTGACATTTATGGAACATTAAAATAAAAAATAAAATTCCACTTTACCCAGCCGATCGCGTGTTTGTTTATGTTTTTGACCGCTAGACGTCCCTCAGTAGTGTTCCACGACAAGCTAATGTTTAACTGTTACTTTGAAGTTGTATTGAAGTTAAACTAATCAATAATGTGCAAAACCAAACTTTGTTTGTGCTTTGGCTGACTTTTATTGTTGATAAACGATCGTTCTTGGCCGAAAGAGGCCATGAAACTTCATCTCTTGTGAAACTTTCAATTTCAATTTTACACCTCCTTTTCTTGAAGAGTTTATCGTGCGCGTCGACTACGGTAAGCACGCCAAGCTAAGACGTTAGATTCTTTGTGAAACACTCCTAGTCGACTTCTGCTAAGTCGACCTAGCTAGGCCACCCAGCTCGAGCTAGTCGACTACGGATTTAAGATTCTTTGTGAAACGGGGGCCTGGTGCTGTATTAGTGGACTTGAGCCACTCAAGGTAAGTCTAAGTGGACATGTCACTGACCAGTGAGCCAGCCCAGGCTATCAGGTGCCGTATTAGTGGACTTGAGCCACTCAAGGTAAGTCTAAGTGGACATATCACTGACCAGTGAGCCAGCCCAGGCTATCAGGTGCTGTAGTGGACTTGAGCCACTCAAGGTAAGTCTAAGGCCGCATTCTCAACGAATTGAGCCAGGCTTTACAAATCCTGAGAACTAAAAATGGCAGACGTACATGAAAGAAAAACCGCCTAATCTTTTAATAGTCTCTCCGCCTCTCACACGCCTCCCCACACGTCGTCCCTGCGGGGTACAGTAATTAAATCTGGGCTCCGAACATGAATATCTCCGTGAATATCTCTGGTGATATTATCTCTGTAGATAGTCGATTCATTGCTGCTCTACGGGCCAATTCATTCCTTTTTCCGTCTCTGTTTTGAAAGATAATAGAACAGAAGAGCTTTTTTTCCTTCGATCGCCTTCAGCCGCCATGCTTTCTTCACCACTAGTTTAACTGATGAGCATGCGCACTTAATATTTCTCAGGTAGCTTCTGCATGGCGAACGGAGCCGAGATTTAATTACTGTACCCCGCAGGGAGGCGTTTGAGAGGCGGAGAGACTATTAAAAGATTAGGCGGTTTTTCTTTCATGTACGTCCGCCATTTTTAGTTCTCAGGATTTGTAAAGCCTGGCTCAATTCGTTGAGAATGCGGTGTAAGTGGACATATCACTGAGGCCACATTCAGAATAGGGGACTAATTAGTCCGAGGATCAAAAATGGCGACCTATTAGAGAGCTGTCTAATCTGCTAACAGACACTGAATAGATATCCTGCTGGGAAGTTTACAAGTGGGTCGGCCATATTTGACTAGAAGTCGGACTAGTAAGTCCCCTGTTCTGAAAGGGGCCTAAGTGGACATATTACCAACCAGTGGCAATGCTGACCAACAGGTGCTCTATCAGTAGACTTGAGCCTATGTGGACTGTTGTACAGTAGATAGTTGTTGTAAAATAAACTACCACAAAAGTACTGTATCTGATCAGAATGTGTATTCTACCGGCTTTAATTCTAAAGGTTATCACCTGTTTTAACAAATTTATTTTTATTTCTGTAGCCTTCCTGTGATGAAGAATTCTCAAATCTAGTCTTAAATGAAGAAGTTAAGATGACAGTTAAAGCACATGAAGGTGAGTTAACAAATTACATAATATTTGAATTTTGCACTTCTGCCTAATCCCTCTTCCTTTAACACCCCCTCCCCTCCCTTACTCAGACCCCTCCTCTTCTCAAACCCTCTCCCCCCACCCCTCCCTTTCTCATACCCCCTTCCCCCCACCCTTCTCTTCTCAAACCCCTTCCCATTCCCATCCCCTTTTCAAACCCCCAACTCTCTCCCTACCATGCCTCCAACTGTTTTATTTTATATTTACAAGTATCAATAAAAATTGATCATTCTCTGAATTTAAGCAAAAGTGATGCCCCATTATAATTCAAGCAAAAGTGACAGATGTGTCATTATAAATTTATTTCTCCAGACCACGACTGTATAGTGGAGTTGTTCAGCAAACATACCAGCCAGTCCGTAACAAGCTGCTTGGTGCAGAAAGGCGTCGCAAAGAGCACTGTAGTGTATCATGTCCCAGATCCAGGTAAGGCTTCATGGTTGTAGTCCGAAGTCGCAGTTCTATTTCACTTGTGACCGTTTGACTTTGATTTTACAGTAGGGTGTTTTCTGTTGAAGCTGGATCAGCTAAAGTTCAGTAAAAACTTGCCTTAAAATCAGTTTAGCACATAACTTATGTGTAACAATATTTAAGCCTTAGGGCAGTGTGTGGGATGATAGAGTGATTAGATTGACTTTATTGTGGTGAGGCATTTACAGTTGTCTAGTTGCAGATTGACCTCTGATGGTGAAATATTGATGGTTATTTTATTAAGTGTTTGGGAGTAGATTATGAAGTAGATTGCCTTCTTGACATTAGATATTGATACCAATTTAGTAAGTGGGTTGGGTGATAGTAGGGTCACATTAAGAACTAGATTACCTTACCGATTTCAGAAATTGATAATAATTTAACTTAGTGTTTGGGAGTAGATTATGAACTAGAAATTGGTAGAAATTGATTGATTGATAGATGAGAAATTGATATTATTACCTTCCAGCTCCCATACAGCTGCCCTCGGAGTGCTTCTGGGACGTCTATGTGACACATGTGTGTACAACTACTGACTTGGTGATAAGACTGGTTGGTCCTGAATATTCTGTAAGTGTTTCAGATTTACAGTGCATGTTATATTTCTGGCTTTTAAAATATGTTATATTTGTAAAAAAATAAAAAATAAAAATGGGGGGGGGGGGGGGGGGGGCAGTAATTGGGTCCAGTAAATTCTGTATTTTTAACTTTTTCATGTGCATGTTATATTTATGATCTTAGACATTTGAAATATATGTAAAATAAAATAATAGGCAAGTATTTTCACATATATAGAAGAGATGTACCAAGATGCTAAACATGTTTTTGTATAACAAATTTAACCTTTTTTATCAAATCAAAAGAATACGATTGCAAATTTACAATAATTAACCGTAGTATCCATCCATTATTAAGATGCATACTGAAGAATGTGGTTTTTATTTCACAGGAAAAATTAGAACAGCTGGAGTCAGCGTTGGAGAGCCAGTGTTCCCAGTGTGGCCCTGTGTCTGCAGTGGTAGAGGGTGAGGTGTATGGGGGGCTGTTTGAGGCTGACGGCTGGCACAGGGTCAGGGTGAAGTCTTCTGATGGAAAACAGGTACAGAGAGAGAGAGAAAGAGAGAGAGAGAGAGGATGGGAAAGTATGTGAGAGAGAGAGTTGGGGGGAGATTTGTCACAGGGGCCGATCCAGAGATATTTTCTGAGAGTCTTCCAAATTATCTTTGTTGATCCATCCTCCATTTTTGACCGTCTTCCGACAGAAAAAAATTATATACCCGTCAATGTAAACTTGAAAATCTGACCGTCTTCCGGAAGACCCAGAAGACGGCCTAAATCCGCCCCTGTGTCACCTGAGACTATTAACCTCAATATTTTTTAAACTAAAATCATATATATATATATATATATAGACATATACCAATAATTCCTCTCTGCTTTCACCAGGTAGAGTGCATTCTAGTAGACCATGGGGACACAGAGACAGTTGATATTGGTCAGCTACAGCCACTGACTGCAGAGCTTAACACCAGACTGGCTTATCAGGTGGGGAATATAACCTTAGATTCTTATACACAATGATGCAGGTTTTTCATGGTCTCCAGATTAATTATGGTTAATTAAGCCCCCTTAACATTTTTTTTGTACTCATGAAGAGTCGGTTGTCATGCAACATAGGTGAAAATAAGGTTATAGCATTATGGCCCATGGTTACAAGAAATGACTACTCTCTTAAAATGGTTAACATTTGTAATAGACTAGTCTTATGTTATTGTTTTTTTTTCTATTAATTAATTGATTGATTTATTGATTGACTTATCTATTTAGTTTTGAGACAATTTTACTGGAAAATGAAATGACTCTTACATCATGTTCAGTTAAAATATTAGTGCCATTTATTTTGATGCCTCCACAGGCTGTGTCATGTTCGCTGGAAGGGTTGGAAGATCTGGAAAACAACGAGATTGTGCTGGAAAAACTTTATGACAGCGTGCTGGGTATCACATGCGTGGCAGAAGTACATGAAAGGTTTGAAAACTGTACTTTTTAGACAGAAAATGTGTGGTAGTACTTCTTGTAAGTAAACTAGGTGTTGAATTTGAGAAATTAGTGAGCTTTGGTGGAGTACTGAAGCTGGTAGAGTGGTGCTTTACTTTTTCAAATTGGGAATAAGCCACCATGACCTACTTTTCATGGTCAGATTTGTCATCACCTTATAGGTATATTAATTTGGTGTTTTTTTTTCATTGATTTGTGATTTTTCTTCATTGATATATTAGCACTTTTTATTCTCTGCATTTTAAATATGAACATGATTACTCATATTATTATATTATATTTTTAAATTTTAATTTAATTTAAAATATCAATTAAAATTACATTCATTTAATTACTGCAGAGGTCACACAATATGTGTCACACTGTTTGACACGTCAGGGGCGGAGGACGTCAATCTTAACCAGGCACTAGCTGGCTGTGTCAAAGATGAAGACCTGACACCAAAACTGCCTGAGGTACAGTAGTGCTGAAGTTTTGACTATTATTAAGATTTTTTATTAAGCTCTACAACAAGTAGGTCATATAACAAGCAATTTAGTAAGCTGAAGTCCACTATAAGGAAGCTTTTAAGCCTCAGAAATTTTAAGGCCATTTAAAAATGGAATGGAATTTTTCAAGAACTTCACCGCAATGCTTTGCCACTTATGTCTCATATTATTTTATATTTTTATTTTTCTTTTAGATTTAAAATAGATAATGTTTTATATAGATTTATTTCAGAAATTGGTAGATGAATTATATTTGTATATACAGGTAGTACAAAAATGGTTATGGAAAGAGTGAGTAGTTCACTATGCTCCAGCTCCACCTTGTTTGCTGTTTGGTAGACTGCAGCTCCATCTATGTTTCTGTACGTTGTTTTTTTCAGGATGATGAGCAGGTTGAAGGCTACGTGAGCCACATAGCTGACAATGGCTCCATCTATTTCCAAATGGTGGGACAGGGACTAGAGAGACTGAATGAATTGATGCAAGAGGCGGGAGAGTACTATTCTAAAGTAGGCCTTTTTTTATTAATTGATTGATTTATTTTATCAAGACTGAGATTTTTACCGATTTGATCTTGGCACATTTTCAACTTCTTGGAAGCCAAAAATATTGTTGGCCTAGGCGGCCCTCTGGGTGCTATGCCTGCATTTTTATGTACAGACACAGATGTGTCTGTACATATAGCCATCATCTGCGTCTGTCGTCGCCGTCGTCGCCGTCGCCGTCGCCGTGCACTTTTACCGATAACACGATAATTGGAAAACCATTTTACCTTTTGACTTGAAACTTGCAGAACTGATGAATATTCATAATACGCAGGTCAAGTTCGAAAATCAGCATGATCGGGTCACTTTTAGGGAATTTATGCTGTTTTTTCACTTTTTTCAGCATATATGCAGCACCGATAACACGATAAGTGGAAAACCATTTT